GGTTGGTTGCTTAGATACACGAACAAAGAGACCTGTGCCAAAAATATGCATACATACTGACTTTGTTTTATAATGGTAGGTAACTGTCTATATTTTCCGGCTAAAACACTCCATGCTTTAGATAATTTACTTAGTAGTCTATTGTGAGTAAAGACCTTACCTATATGTAGATAAAAATTAATATTTTTAATATTATAAATTACATTCAACTGTATAAACCCGACAATAACTCCTTGAGTATCCAGGTTGGTTTTTAGTCAATAAGAGTCTGACACTCCCTCTCTCCCCTCCTAGCCCGGGAGAAATCACTTGATGGTTTTTCCTCTCAAAATCCCCGTGGAGTGTCAAAATATAAGGCTTTATAGGTTAGGCTCCAACGCGACAAATATAAGACGGTAAGATGTATGCACAAGAAGTATATTGTTAAAATAATATACATTTTTGAGCAAAAATAATATTTCTTTATATGAAGTTACAGCTCAACCGCTTCTTAACAATCAAACCTATTACGTTTTACATTGTCAAGCAAATAAATAAAAATCTATAATCAAAACAAGTGCAGTATATTAGCAGAGAGTGTTGTAACGAAACGAGTGGTTGAACGAGTGGTTGATTATGGAAGTACTAGTATTGTCGGGTTGCGACGATGCATACGAAGCGCTGATTGCACCCAGGCGGCCAGGTTGTGATCAACGCACTCGCTCAACCGAATAGATTGAAATGCTAGCCCTTTCCTGTTTGATGACTCCCGTACGTAAACTGTACTTTATTGGAATTCAACATGTTTTGTTGTTACACGTCTGAAGAAGACAAGATGATAAGATTATCATTACCTTGGATGTGGAAAGTTTTGAATTTTCGGAGTTGAGTTCGAAATCTGGTGTCCAACTCTGATTTATTGTAAAATAGAATGATGTTAGACTGCTACCGCAATAGAGGATCATTGCCAAAAATGTTTTGAATAGACTTTAAAAAAATAATTATTAAAATACATATAAAACGTTTTAATAACAAATTTTAATTAATACGGACGAATCACGAACTAATTTTATTTAATCTTCTTATAAAAATAAATTTTTGAAAATGATTTATTTTTGTTCATAAAATAGAATGAATATAAATATCAAGGTGTATAATTCAATTTCTTGTTCTGTCGTTGGTCAAGAATTCTAGAAATTCTCGAAGGCAAAAAACAGACTCAATTAAAAATAGCCTCAATTTATTTATGTCCATAAAAATATGTAGCCAAGTAGACATATGTTGTAACATCGCCGAAATAATTTGATTTGATTTGTATGATGGAAAAATTCCAGAATATTTTTATGAATGAATTAAGTATAATGATTCTAAATGTTTACTAATAGAAAAAACTGTTACTTTTAATTTATTTCTTTACAGATCAGGAATTGGTTGATTTTTAGGCAGATATAATTGTATCCATCTCTAAAAACCTGTGATCAAAGTACTTTTAAGAGTAATAGTAATTTCAGTTCACATAGTCTTAAATTACATATTTATATTATCGTTTCAATATAATCAAGCTAAAACTGTTAAATACTAAGTAAACGTAATACGAATGCGATTTTGGACTGAATTCAAAGCACGTAAACAGATTTGTTTGTTGAAGTAAATAGGAACTAACAAAATAAACGGATATATACCATACATTATATAAATTACTAGCTTTTCCGTATAATTACAACTCCCTGTTTGTATGACAAAAGGCAGATAAATCTATAATACAGAATGAACCGCTTAATATATTGCTGTCGATATGCACAGATCTCGAGAACAACTAAACAGATTTTGATAATTGTTTTAAGAACGGTGCAAGGGCGGACTTGTTGCTAAACTATATCTATTAGACAACATTCGAGTGAGTGGAGCATAAAAAATTTAATAAAACTCAGAACTGTAAGCTATACAAACGAATTTTCGATTCAAACTAATGGTTTATGTTATTAGTTATTATAAAAAACTAGAAAAATGATGAACATTCATAATAATATTGCAATAATTGTATGTAGGAAATAAAAAAGAACATTTATAATATTTTTATGAAAATCTTTTCATTATATAAAGTGGTGATTGCAATAACGGGCTTGTTTTATCTAATGACGTATTCTAAAACAAATAGACATAACTTTAAGAACAAATAATTATTCATAAATTGTGGTTAATAATTTATAAATTTTATTTATTTATTATCTTCAAACGGCAGCTGTTGTACACTTATTCATTACTTATCCTATTAATTTGTTTTTTTTTTGTTTGCGGAAAAAGTGTCCTGCATTTATTTCAGCTCTTCGTATATTAGACTGAATTTATCAAAAAACCCTTGGAATACAATTTTTGCTTGGTAATTAAAATGGTTATTCGGTTTAATTACATTATTGGTCATGAGGTTACTCGACTGGTTTCATATATGACCGGAGTCCGTCATCATAACTACCAAGCGCAAGCTCAACGCAGCGAGAGTCGCTTAGATAACTAGATTTTCGTCGAAATACGATATAATGCTTAATTTTACGAATGACAGGTGAAATTTAGAACATAAATGGCTTAATGTATATTTTTTTATATATTCGATGTGTTAAAAATAATTATGAAGACAACTTGACAGATATTAATCTTTTAAGCTAGACTTCGGCTAGTTGTAGTTTTCTTCCGCTTGACTAGGCACATCAGTAGCACTTAACATCAGATACGAGCTGTTGTTTTTGTGATATTTTTTCTAGGTCTACATGTCTAGTCTATATTGATTGATCGGTCTCAAAAAAAAGTTTACACGGGTCTGAAATGGACCTTTTTAGTTTTATTAGATCATATTAATGTCTTTATTTCGAGCCTTAAATATTTGGTTTCCGTAACAAAAACCGTAATAAAATGGTAGTGGTTGGCAACGTTCTGACTTGAAAACAATTCGAATTTGATTTGGTTTAGAAAACTATAACAAATATTTAATGGGCATTAATACTACTCATGCATGAGGGTGCAGGTTTAAAGCTAGTAAGTACCAATGTGGTTCAAACCATTCTACCGATTTTATGTTTATTTAGACGCCATTGATAAATGAAAACGTTAAAGTCAAAATCCTAAAATTTCAATCAAACCTCAAAAATGTACTTTTGAAACGTCTAAATAGAATAATATCTTAGGGTCTTTCCTTAGGGAAACTAGGTTTCAAAGTTTGCATTCAAATGGAGGAAAACGAGAAAAAAAACTCTACGGCTACCCTTTAAAAAAAATCGTGAATAAATCTGAACTGATAATTTCTAGTTTCATTATTATTTCAAACTGTGACTGATGTCTAAAACCTTCTCCTCGTTTTTAATGCTCAAACCTTCTTCGTGTAATAAGAGGCCTTACTCAGAAATACTAGCTATACGCTGTTGACAAATAGTTACTAACTGCCGATGTACTAACAATCCATTTACTCTTACTATCGAAGAAAGGCACAGTATGCAGTATTGCGTAGTAAGCGATACTCCGTCTAAGAAAATGGGTCAGTAAAGTGCTCCGGTCTAACAAGCACTAGTGTAGGTATCAATGCTTGCTTATATAACGACAGTACTTGAGTTAAATGATTAAATAACTTGCAAACTTTGCGAATCCATTCCAGGTTGTTTCTTTTTATAATGCCGTCACCTATTTCCTGGGATTTTTTATAAAATACATGTTTTACATATAGAAGTACACATCACATCCAATTTCGTTTTTAAACGTGTAAAAGTCTTATGGCCAAGATTGGGTCAGACTCTTGTTGACTAAAAATCACCCCGTTCCTGTTCTGGGCCTTTACGCTCACACCCGTAATCAGACACCCAGATCCTACACAACAATTTGTGGACCACACAAAGAGGTATTCCCAAATCTGCAATACATTTCTCTACTAGCGGTTTCCTATCTGTTGGGCTAATAATATAGTGGAATATAATATGCAAATATTATACTGTTTATTTGGGGAAAGAAAACTGATATCATGGTACTAACAACTGAATAGGATAAAAACTGTGTTTAGACCATGACCTTTGACAAATAGAAGCGATGTCTTGTCGACACAGGAAGAGAGGAATAAAACAAAAGGACACACAAACCGACTTCTATTGATATAAATTGAATTTATTTATACAAATGTACGTTGTTCATGACGTAGTAGTAAAATTAACATCTGGACCGATAAACGAAGGAGTGTCTACTATGTGTTTTTAGAGCTTGAATAAAATTTGGTGGTTTTACGCCATTTTCCCATAAGTAGAATGGAAGTACATACTACTGTGTAATTGTCACTCTTACTCTTTTAGTTTAATGATAATGGCGCTGATGATTATTTTTTTCTCGCTTAAGTAACAGTTATTTAACCGTTATAAAAATATTCGTGCACGCAATAATAATATTCACATTGATGCGGATATCGTATTTAGCACTTCACGAACGTTTATAGTAGATACTCGCGATCACTAGATCAGAGAGCTAGGATTTAAATTATACTAGCAACTACAGACTGACACTCCCTAAACAGCAGACTAGGAACCACATATCAACTATACATATACCCATTAAATATAAAAAAAGAATAAAAATATTTTAAAACAATAATATTACAAACGTATTGCAGCGTGATCGTTAGTCGATGAATTTTTGTACTTTTTTTAAATCTATTGTTCAATTGAAGAATAAATAAATATGAGTTGTTTATTATTTTATTAAATATCAATCAATTAAATTATCCGATAGTGAACAATGTAAGTAATAAGTGACTTATGTTTAGATGTCGCGCGTGTTTCATTTATTTTAATTAGATTACATCGCGATTATTTTAATTAAAGAATATTGACAGTTTATTACAAAAATGCATTCTTTAAAATTATAATGTGAATTTTGTTATATCATATACAGTTTTTAGTTTTCAGTTTCTGTGTTATTTTGATGATGGAAATAATTGTATTAAAATGCAAAGATCCTTAACAATATCGTTAGTTTTAATTATAGATACTCACTCTTGAAAAGACCCATCTTGAAACACTTTCTCATAATGTCGGAAAACGAATTAACTTTATTTACGTCGCCCATATATGGTGAACACTTCTTCCCACCAGTCTTGTATTAAAATCTTTATTTACTTCATTAATTATCCATTCAAAATAAAACTTCGAATAAAATGTCTTTAAAAAATATATGTTACGAAAATGTCGTGAAAAATATTTTGTTCAACGATCATGTAGCCGGCTCACTGCGACCTGACACATTATCAGACTGAAGCGTCGTCGCAGGCACAGCCACCGGGCGACCGGCGCTCGCGCCGATCTCATTGCCGCGCTCCGTATAAATCACACACGCGGATTATCTAATTAAGCTTGCAATAATAGTATCATAAGAGCCCACTGTTTGTGTATAAACAAATACAAATATATAATTCTAATTACAGTGTGATTACGTAGTCTCTTTATTGATGTCTAGAACTAGATAGATAATATCAATCCTGTAGTGGATTACTGAAGCGTATCCCATATAGCACGCTAATTAATTTATGACAGAACCATAAATCTCGTTTATTAAGTAACATGATGTTACAAAGGTTCCAAACTCAAAGGACAGGTTTATCATGTTCAGGTCTCCAAAAAAGAAAATGGATATATCTTTTTAACCAAATTCCAGTACAGCAACATGTCCTTAAAAGTAAAAGAATACATAAGTAGTACATTATATTTAAAACTAATAAATTACAATTTTATTTTCATTTTTTTATAGTTTTCACGTACTGATTTAACTTCTTATTTAACTTCTTTGCTCGCTAAAAAGTGAGTCATTTAACATAGGAGTCTCTAATAGTCGTAAGAATTTTCTTCTTCTTCTTCTTCTATCTTTGGTATGTAAAAGTTCAAAAATGTTAAAGGTAATCGCGGTGGATTATTTAGCTTTAATTAACTCGCACAGATTTGGTGATTATTTATTTCAATTGGTGTTGGAATACATTTTGAAGTGCAGTCGTGAATAAAAATCAGAAAAAAAGTCTAAAATTACAACAATACCAGATGGTATATTGTAATTTTAGACTTTAATTTTCCTCATGTCACGCATCTATGTACTTTTGGTAAAAGAACTTCGGTACCAATTTACAAAAGCATTTTATAGTGAATTTGTAATTGTTTCCTATGCTGCAACTAAAAAATATTATGGCACAAATCAATGTTAACCGTTACATTCAGTAGTTGTTCTTTTTGTGTGTTCTGTAATGTAAGTAAATCTGATGAGAAAGTAATGAATGAGGGAAATGTCATTTGATATTTACTAGGTAAGTATAAAGATGACATCCTCGTATGATCCATTAAAAATCCAAGAGTACTGATCAGGATGTGTAATATTGTTGTTTCCTTATAATTTTCCAAAAGCGAAAGCCAAATATTTTTCCCAATATGTTGCTAATAAATGTATCATAATGTTGTTTTCCTTTTATTTTAAAGTTTTTTTCCCCAAATATGGAATATGAACCTTTGCTTCAGGATAAATAGGCTTTCTCGGATGGAAATGTCATCATGGTGATGTCACTGCCGTGCAGTAAGCCAGCGTTAAACAACACCAGTAAGTAAGGTGATCGAAAGCCCAGTCCTGTTTTCAAAAAATAAAACGTTGTCCTACGCTGCGATTTTCTCCTGTGTCGTGGGTGCGTTTACAAACATTTTCACATACACTGACACACATCACAGTGGTTTACACTCAGATCCGAAACAAAATCATCACATCACACAAAGAGTTGTTCCGTGTGGGAATCGAACCCGCGACACGTTGCACGGCATCCAGTTGCCCAGCCACCGCACCAACCGTGCAGCCCTTCTTCCATGCACAATACCCAATCCCCATTTCTTAACCCTCAAAAGGACGGCAACATTCTTTTTACACACAAAATGTTATAAACAACTGTAACAACATAGAGTTGTTTATACCATTACGATGCCATTTGTCAGTTTTGTTGTTAGCCAATAAAATCCTCTCGCCTCACTCAGAGTCATTCGATGGTTTTCCTACCACAAAAAAGGGTATCACTAAACTATCAATTTCGCGTCATAAAAGGCTTCATTTTAACGACATTTTGCTTTATCCGTTTGTATATTCAATACATTTTGCTTTATCCGTTTGTATATTCAATTGTAGTCATGAACAATCATTGTGAACTTCGTCACACAAGTACAAAGATGTATGTAGGTCCCTAAGAGGACATGCGACCAAAAATTAATAAATAAATACAAATTTAAGATCCTAATTCACATTTAATTATGCTACTTAATTTATACAAATCTTTAAGCAAAACAATTAGAGAAAATATCATTAGTAAATAAAACCACGATCTTCGACTTAACCTTCACGGTTTATGATGAATAATAAACTATTTAATATTTAAAATATTTATTAATGTACGTTTATATACGTTAGGTTATATAAAAAGACCATTCATGACACGCTTACCTTCTGTACCTAGAAATCTAAGGCTAAACACAAGGTGCCCTTTAAGTAAAAGTTAATAGAATCGATGTCATACCTAAGAATATATGATCGATAAATGACTTTCATACGTTCATGATATCATTTACGAAACAGAACGTGTTGAAAAACCCAGTCCTCTTTCAGTTATATAGGTAAAGAGGCATATAACTCATACATTTTGCTTTTACAGTCAGCTGAACAGCTTAAAAAGGAACCCAACAAAAAAATTACAATTAATAAGCAAGTTTCGTAGAACCATACCTTGGCTTGACCGGAGTGATCCGGCTTCACAGAAATCCAGCGTGGTTCAACCCTCTGGGGATAAGTAGTATCCAAAATCCCTAAATATAACATATGGGCACACCAATCGATAGCGCTCAGATGATCAGTTTGCTATCCATAGTATCAAAAAAATTTAATATGGTTTATTTATGAACACAATTTTATTTTCTGTAATTGTATTTTTTTCAGAAATCCAGCGTGGTTCAACCCTCTGGGGATAAGTAGTATCCAAAATCCCTAAATATAACATATGGGCACACCAATCGCTAGCGCTCAGATGATCAGTTTGCTATCCATAGTATCAAAAAAATTTAATATGGTTTATTTATGTACACAATTTTATTTTCTGTAATAGTATTTTTTTCAGAAATCCAGCGTGGTTCAACCCTCTGGGGATAAGTAGTATACAAAATCCCTAAATATAACATATGGGCACACCAATCGATAGCGCTCAGATGATCAGTTTGCTATCCATAGTATCAAAAAAATATAATATGGTTTATATAAGTACACAATTTTATTTTCTGTAATAGTATTTTTTTTTCTATTATAGCAAACTAGCAAACGGGTCACCCGATGGTAAATAATCAGTGCCGTCCATGAACACCTGCAACACCAGAGGAGTGACGTCGCGTTGCCGGCCTTTTCAGAAGGAGTACGCTCGTTTCATAAAGGGTTGAAGGTCATATTGGTTCATTCATTCATTGGTCACATTTCAAAGTTTCGCGAAAATCGCACAATTGTGGACTTCCGACCAGCTATATGATGGGGACTAAAGTATTTTTGCGTGAGTCGATGGCGAAAAGATGTGGGTGGGATCAAATCGAACAATTCCTCAGAACACTCCCCGTGGTGGTGTCTGAACTTCCGCCTTATTAAGCGAAACGCTGCATAGATCTATTGAGCACACCTAGCTTCTTCGTAGTTTTAATCTTTAGATGTAGACACCAAATCTTAAATTTAATTTTACATCTTATTATTATCCCCATCATTATCACCACAGAAACTCGTGAAAGTCCAGCCTGGTACAATGGAAAACTTCTTTACAACACACTTCGCAGCAGGTTGGAGATTTCATTTTATTTAAAACGAAACAGGTTTATTAGAGATTGCTGTGGTCTTATAAAAAATGCAGGTTATCTACTTAATCTTGTATCTTCAATCAAAGCTGGCTGATAACACCTCGTGCCATATCATGTCTCTAAGTAGGAAGAGCGTATGTCCTAGAAAATGCATTAAAGTTTACGACTCAATTAAATGTGTGGCGAATAAGTCAAAATAATTACGACCATGAGTCAGTCCGCGATAAAAAAATATGATTACCTACGTAATTTCGTCGGATGATTACTTAATTAGAGATGGTAATTAACGTGTATTAGACAGTTTTGTCTTTATTTGTTTGTGTTGGTGTGAAATGCAAGTTTGAGCCTTTTTTGAGTGAAAATACATGTAATGGAATGATGGTAGTATTTTTTCATTTTGGTATTCTAATTCTAAATATATCATATTTTTTTAAATGAAGAGACAAGCGAACATGTTCATAACCTGATAGTAATTGAATTGATCAACGTGGAATACCAGAGGAATTACAAGTAGCTAAGAATTCATATGTAAATTAAAATACACATACATATGTATCTATATTTTAACGGAATTGCTTTCCTCATTTGTAGTAATAAAACATTTAAAAAACGTTCTTCAACCGTCTCTCCTTGACCGTTATTTAGGGTTAAATTTAAAACATAGCTATTCGATTTTATCACTCAAAAAGTCCTTTTACAAGTTCAATTTAATGTTTATAGCGATAAATGTATTTCTATATATGTTCCTTATTACATTTCGGTGACTTTGAAATTAAACCGCGTATAAGAAAATGCTAAAAGTTACTGTTTTATTTTAAAACATTACAATTAAAGTAATCAAAAAAGAAGTTATTTACTGCAGTAAATTACTTACTTAATTTGTTAAGACATAGATGACCAGTCTTTATTGAATTGCATTGAACAAATATAGCCTACGTTTGAATGTCTATCGCAGAATCCAGATATCACCTGTTATATGTTTGTTACGATATGAAAACTTAGGGAAGTATTATAGATGGATTCTTGAATGAATTCAAATCTTAGCGTGGAGCAAAGGCCTCAATCTCACAAGGAGAAGATAAGCACTTACAGGTAGATGATATGATTATGAATCTAGTAAGTCACTGATAATAAGTCTCTGTATACGTGATTTGGAGCTTACATTATACGTATTTGTACCCGTGAATTTTTAAATAAATAATAACATAAAGAAATTCCCAAAGATCTCTTACAAAATAGGTATGACCAAATATTTAATTTGTAGGGTGTATGCCAATCTAATTAACATTTCAGTGGCATATTAGTTATTTAAATTAGAGAAGTAATTTGTTTTGCACATTTTGAGAGGAATTACTAAAAATTTGCCAGAGCTAATAATATGATTACTAAATATAAATTTCAGTTTGTAGTGGGGCGTCCATGCGGGCGTATCGTAAACTCATGATCTGTATATTTATATTT